CTGGAGATTGAGAAAACAATAAATTTCATGTTCTTGCCAGAGGTGCACTGCGCAAATCCCATGAAGATGATATTGTAGTATGAACCTTTTGAAGAATTAGTATGGCTTTTCAGCGTTTTACGAGAGTTAGCTCGTGAGAAATCAAATTGGAGCAAAGAAAGCACTGAAAAATGAGACAAGTTCGTCCTTTTTGGCCTATTTCAAGCTATGTCTCCTTCCGATTTTAGGAGAAAAACCCTTCACATAAATTTCGATGTGCTGAGCATAATCCTTATCAGGTGAAAAGTCTGTAAAATCCTTGTAATAAAGATATTACATTCCTTCATTTTTGCGCATTTAGCCCTCTCCAGATATTGGTTTGAAAAAATGGACAAACATTGTGCGTTTGTTTGATTTCGGCTGTCTTGCAGAGCTGTTATGCCATTGAAAGGTACCGCAAAACTTATTTAGAGAGCGATAAAAGTATGATTTTTCGGAGAGGAAGCTGCAAACGGTAAACAATAAGGAGACACCCTAATTTCCAAAATCTTCTCTCAGCAGCGATGGCAGTGGGGTTTTTTCCTTCTTCGACTGATCATTTCAATTTGACATTTTCGTTGCGCTATTGCTTCGAATTTGACTTTTTAGTGTGCATATAATAATGCTCACATAATCCAATAATTAAACTACACAATGTGACACAAAATTTATCAACTGCGATTGAATGGCTGAGTTGTTAATGAAATCCATTAATTGTAAGCCAGTGAAATGTTTTTTGATAGATATGTTACAAGTTCATGTCAAGGGAAACACGGCTTGCTTTTCTAACTAGGGAGGAGGGGAGGGGCTACCATCTCCTATTTGGTCTTATCTTTGCTCATATGATAAATATTGGTGTGTATGATCTAATAAGATGGGTAATCATAACAAATGCGCAATGGGGAATGTTTGTCACAGTTCCTTCGATCATTTATGTATTCGGTTAGAAAAATTTGGTATCGTATTTACCAAAAATTTTATGGTAGAAGCATGTTTGTGTTAGTGAATGCGACCAATGTTACTGGAGTACCCGAATCCTGAACGCGCTTCCTTATTTCTTACAAAAAAGGGCCTTGTCAATGTAAACAGAGAGTACCTTTGGCGCAGCTATTACCCAATTTTTAATACAAATTGGGTGGCAGATTAGCACTTTAAATGAATTTTAACTAAGTAATACATGTGGAAAATGAATATTTTTACACCCTGAGTATATCATTTCAAAACAGCAATAATTCATCGTCATCTTTCCCATAGCCAAAAGTTCGAATTGAATCTTATATATAAAGCTGATTGTCTGTTTGTCTGTCTGTCTGTATGTCTGTACGTATGTTCAGAATAGAAAATTCCATTTCTGGACCGATCCGGTCCAAACTTGGCACAAATATACTTCGGGGCAGCGAGCGTGTCATAGGCTACTTTTCGTCATCATATCGATTTTATCGATTTTTTGCAAAATTTGAGCTACGGGGCTGGGAGTTGGCACAGGGGCTAATCGAGCATGCTGATTACGAATATAATAATGACAGGGCCGGGCGGAGCCGGGTAAGTCAATTAGTCATTGATAAAAATAATTGTTGATTGTTTGATAGCCAAATTTGCAATCTCTTCCACTGTGCCCTGCAGATGATCTCCAACTGTCAATAAACTGATTTTGATTCTTGTCTAGTTTTTTGTTGCAAAAAATTTAGGACAAGAATTAAGAGTAATTTTTACAAATGGCGACTACTTTGACCAGATTTTTGAATACCCCTTCCCCAACCAGGAGTGCGAAAAAGATTGGGTAGAATTGAATGAATTTTGCCATGACTTTTCTTGGCAACATGCTTACATAGTTCTAATGAGCCTCTCGTGGAAATTAGTGCAAGTATTACTTTTTTCATAGGCAATTTCGAGTTTGTACTTTCCTTGTTATTCTTGGCCTATTTGTTAGATTAGTTTCTCGCTCCGCTCACTTCAGCGCTAGACGAACCATTATCACCGTGGTCTCCTTGTTTTAATAGAAGCTTGATTCTCATCGTATCTAATTTCATAAGCAAAAAAGCTGAACTGTTAACGATCTCTCTACAAGCATCTGTTTTGCTATGTAACCGAGCTGATTACGGGGAAACGCAAGTAGCTACTCTCAGTCGTCAGCTTTTTATAAGGAATTTGCAAAATTTTGGAGGTTATTTCATGCGTTACCATATTGTTTCCTACTGCATATATCTTACAAGGGAACCATGTTTAGTCGAAGTGGAATAAATACCATGTTGAAGAGCACAAAACGCTGATTTCATGCTTCCTTATTTGCGGAATGTAAATCTCCTGGCAAGCCGCAAATACAAAACGCTGTGGGTGCAGTACTGGATCTCGACGCAATCTCTAAAGATTGAGAATTCAACTCTTTGCAAAGAAATTATATCGATTTTTAGCAGCATTCTATATAGCAAGCGCTTGAGTGATGATTAGCCAACATTACAAAACTATAATTTACATAAAGGGCACGATTTTACTCCCTGATTTTTTTTAATCGCTGACTTTCAAAACAATCTACATAGAAGTGTATCCAGTTTTAATCGTAAATCTCGTACAAGGATATGTTTTCACATCTTTACATTTTCGTTCCCAGACCTGCGTTCAGCTCTAGGTTCTGTAACAGCTCGACCTGGACGGACAAGCGCTGAAAATGGTTACTAACAGTTTTACATTGTTATGCATTTCTGTAAATAAGTTTAATTTCTTGAAAAATTTGGAAAGTTATCGATCATCAACTTGGAAATAGTCTTGCACCATTTCCGAAAATCCGTATGAAATGGGAACATTTCGATGCGATATTAAAACCCCAAATAAATGGAAATATACAAGTTAGATAAATCCTATCCGCACAAACTCATTTTATTTGGAATACGTACATCATAAAACCCAAACAAAAGTAGAATTACGAACCTTCAAGCAATTTTTGCGATTTGAAAATTGGAAAAACGCAACTTGAGTGCTCGTCTCCAACAGGTTCTCAAATTACCCTTCTGATTATGTCAATAGGATTTATTGAATTTAAAGAAAATTATGCTTTTTGAAAATTTTGGTGCAAGACTTATGCTTCCTCGGTACGCTAGTTAAAGAGTCACATTGTCATAGTTTCACATGCCGGTCAAAACATTTCAAGAAAAAATAATGGAATTACATGGCTCTTGAACGGGGAGCATTCGGCCTCCAGGCATCGTGCAGAATAGATGTACGCATTCTATAGATTTTTTCATTCAAATGATACTTTCGATTCCGGGAAAATTCCCAGGCCAGCTCAAGTCGATGACTACTGTCTAGTAGAGTTTACGGTTGGTGTAGTGCCCCTGCGGTGAAGGCAACACTTGTTTGGGAGAAAGCAAGTTTGTGGGCGCAAATTTACTTGCGTTGCGAGTGAGAAACTAGAACGCGCTACTTTGCTCCGCCTACTCCGCCTACTTTGCTGCTTCCGGAGCGGATTTCTCGCTCCAGTAGCAGTCTTTTGCGGCGCAGCATGGAGATTTGCCTAGTGTGTGGGCACATTACTATGCCATCATAATCTCGCCAACCTCCATTCTGGGTGGGCGGTGCCTTTGAGCTCCGAGTTTCGACAGAATACTACCGGCCCAGCTTTTTTCTACTCGCACCGTTTGTCTCCCTATTGTTTGGAAGTCAATCTCTGTGGCACACATAAAATTCATCAGAAGTCTTTTTCTTAGTGCTCATCCTATGAAGAAAAAAAGGTAAGATGTTTAATAAGTATAAAAGTAGAGGATTTTGTAAATCTAGTAGAGGTGGTATACTGAGGGGCATATGCGTTAAATTCTTATTTTTTACAAGTTCAAATTCTAAACAGAGGTATAAGACAGCGCATGATCGCTTTCATTTTGCTTGAAGATATATAGCCGTGGCGGGTAGGGGGAAGGAGCGGGAGAGGGAAGGGTAGGGAGCGAGAAAAGGAAGGTTATCGGTTTCCGAGATAACTACTGAATTTCTAGGATTGTCCTGTATGGATTCAGAAAATCGTGCAAGTGACTTCTTTTTATTTAACGGTCAGAATAATCTTTGAGAAAATTCCAAATCAAATTGGATTCATTCAAAAATTTTCTCGTTACTTGCCTCAAAAAATTTCTAGGGAGGTGGCTTAATACCTTGTCTCTTGCTTGTAGATTTATTGCGCTTACTTCTCAAGCATATTTTTCAGACCTATGATGATGTAATAATCGATAACTACAATCCTTGATTGGATACTCTGTACTATAACCGTCTGAACAAAGACCAATACGAAATTCCTTTGACTTAGGGAGCTAAAAGGTTTACAGTAACTCTCGTTTTTGTTTCTTTTTTTGTGGCCCTGGTCTTTTGATGTAGTACAATTATTAATACATTGGAATCAGTGATTTTTCTTTTTCACTAACCAAACTCAGAGTTAACTCCTAGTTTCGCGAGCGCCTGAAACGAACGCGCACGCACCAAACTCAGAGTTGACGAGCAGCTCAGCTGCGCCCATCGTCGCACAGCGTGGATCGAGTTACGTTACATCTCCATACTTGGGAAAAACTATGTCTTAAGGGGTATCCTGCCAATCGCTTTCAGTCGACTCATTGTAGCTACCAAATCCTTCGTGTCTTTCTTGGAGCAAGTTACTGAAGTTACGTAATTTGTGAACTATTGTTAAGGCATTTTTACCGCATATTTCGGACTTTTTTGCTATTCTAAAAATTATATGAGCCGCCATTTCCGAAAACATCTTTTTGTAAAAAAAATGTGCAAGTTTTTGTAGGTTTTATATGATGTTCAGTTGCCCACCGTCTTTTTCATTTTCTTTTGTTCGTCTGGCTTTCATATTTTCAGCCCCCTGATTCCAAGCCTTGCTTGGGATTTAAACCTTTTCTCGTTGTTTCAGTGGCAACACAAACATGTCTATGATTTGGTTTTTCGTAAACTAAAAGCGACTAATGGGTAAATTGACTATAAAGTAAGCAGATAAATGAAATTATGGTTCAAATTTATACGGTTTTATTCGAATTTTACTGATGTAAAATTGGAAAATTTTGAAGTTTCCAAGATCATGCGTTGGAAAGAGTAAGAGAGTTCTCAGCGCAGCGGCTTCTCTTCAGGAGCATTCTGGAACAGGCCGGTGGCGTCTATCTCTCTCACCTTCATGTGCTTTTCTGACTTCTTAGACAGAACCTGAAAAGCAGAGTTATAAAGTGTTAATTACCAATGATTACAGTACTTCGAGGAAATTTGCAGCTCTCGCTTCCCGTTTTGACTTCGCGTGCGGCAGGGTGACACAGGGTGTCTTCGTTGTCTTTGTGACGCATTGTCTTGTTGATTTCATTTTTTTCGTAGATGCAGTGGTATGCTGTGATGACGCAGTGGTGTACTGTGATGACGCAGTGGTGTACTGTGATGACGCAGTGGTGTACTGTGATGATTCAGTGGTGTACTGTGGTTCTGTAAAACGGCGACATGGCGCGGATAACACTGGAAAACGAAGAGAGGAGACATTCACTGATTTTGTGAAAGTAAGCTAACGGGGTGTGGCACGGTGTGGCAGCCACAGCTTCTCTGGGGTGTTGTGCCACATCCCATTAACTTACCTCCAAACAGAGTGTTAGCAAACAAAATACAGACAGTGTGATAGCGAAAATGTCGCAGTGTCTGAAGAAATGATTAGAGCTTGATTCTATTCGTTTTCTTTGCATAGATGCTGGGAGCAGACCCACTTCAAGCGCAAACTGGGACAAATGAGTTGGCTGGCTCCCAATTTCATAGTTTGATGGTATTCAAGGAAGGATTCAAAGTATGGCAAAAGGGTTTACTTTGTTTCAATACAAAAAGAGAAAGCTAATTCACTTTCGAATTATAGTTAACCATGTTGGAAAACGATTATTTGACTTAGGTGGTTCATCATTAGGAACCCTCAGAATTCGTTAGAACTTGGATGTGACTAGTAATGTCTGGTAAAACCTTTGAATCATGACAGCAGACAAATCAAATGTGGGGCTGAGTATGAAGACAGAACTTAGAAGGGGGGGGGGTCGTATCTGGCTGTTGTGTGCCACACCTCTTACTCAATCCTGTCCATATCGCTTGCATTTACTCCTCATGGTCATGTAAATGGTTGCAAACATCAAAACTTTATGTGTACATTCCAGTTCTTTTTTGTCATGGTACTTACAAGGAGAGGATACTTAGTCGAAAGCACCAATCCGGATGAGACATATATCGTCTTGAAGCGCTTGAAATGCTGATTCCAAATCTGTAGTTTCTAGCTGCGGAGCGGTTTTGTAGAAAGAGTTATGAGGGGTGTTCCCCTCTGGGGTTAAGGAGCCCACGAGCGGTCTCCCCTTATCTATGAGCACTGTAGAAAAGTACCAGCTGGTGGCAACTGGCCTAATGGTAAGTAACTTGAATGAAAATTACAATAAGGATTATGATGCTCGTATTACTTTGGTTTTTTTAACACTTCTGACTTCGTTTAGCATCAATATCATCAGAAATTTCAGGCTTTAGGGCTCTGAACCCATTTGAAAGCTCAATTTGGCAAAAACTGCGATACAGTTGCACGCCAAGGGGATTAAAATCTTGGCACTCCACTTATCAAGAGCGTCACTTACTACCACGTCAGTTGCCACCAGTTGTTATTCCTCTACAGTGCTCATAGGTAGGGGAGACCTGGTGGAGGGCGCCTCAACCTCAGAGGAATACAACCTTCAAAACTCCCACAAAACCGCTCCGCAGCTAAAAACTACAAACTTGGAATCAGCGTTTCAAAAGCTTTAAATGATATACATATGTCTTATCCGGGTTGGTGCTTTCGACTAAGTATCCTCTCCTTGTTAAAAACTTGGTGCAAAAAAATCAAAATTCCCCATAATCCCGTACTATTTCATCATATAAATAATTTCTTCTCAGGCAAAGTTGAGTATTAAATTCTTCTCAAACCATTCCAATGCTACCAAACAGTAGTACAGAAATTTGTTATTGTAAAAAAAAGACCGTTAAAACAAAAGAAATTATCTATTCAATTTAGTAATAAGGATAGTTCTCTGGCAATTACACTTACCTGAGGTGCTTGTATTAGGAAACACTGTCGTGGATGTAATACTCGAAGTCCAGGGAAGACCACACTCATCGTCAGTATCTATATCACTTTTATCTGTGCGTATTTCATAAAGTTCGTCTCCATTTTCGATTGGCCTGAAATACTAACTTATGGAGTATTCAAAACGGCTTATTTTGAAGAACAGCACTAATCCTGCACTGTCAGATCGTTTATTTTTTTTTATTTTTTTATTTTCTACACCTGAAAAGAACGCGAGTAAAGGTAGTAAGATGACTGAAACGTTGTTCGCTGAAAAGTGTGCGGAGGGCACTAAAGGCTTCAGACACCTTGCATCTCAAGAGGAATGGATACCTTGAAAAGCCGATTTCGGAGCAATGCTTGACATATTTCTTACTCTACATAGTAGCAAACAATCAGAAGCATGTCAAAGATGTGAGATTATCGACCTTTGATTCTCCTCCCTCTTCGTAGTGGCATATCCGGCTGAACCCAAATTAGCGAAGCGCGCGAGAAGGCCGTATCTACTTGACATATCTTGAAACTTCCTTTCTTTATGATTTCTAGGGAGAAGGCAACGATTCTTTGCAAAAATATCTTTGCAAAAAATAAACACATATTTATCGATGGGCGGGGCTGAGCCGACAAGACGCTCGGAGTTGTTTTTCCAGATAAATTTCTCGCTCATTGGCGACAGCTCCATTTCCGCGATTGGGCGATTGCTCAAGTGGGAGATGCATTACAGCAACCAAAACAGTGGTGGAATTTACGGTTAGTATTTTGTGAGCCCTTTATCTAAGCTGGTACATTTACAGGGTGTCCCAAAAGTCTTTGAGCCTAGTATTTCCTCCGCTGAAAATGCATGAAGCAACATAGAAGCATGAAGTTCAGCAGGGAATTTGCGAAGAGCCTACAAAACAACATGATACACTCAGATTTCTCAAAACCCTCCTTTGGCCTTTACACAGGCTCTCAGACACTTGCGGAATGCGTGTGCCATGGCAGCCAGGTAGTTGACATCGAGATCATCTCACATCTTCTGAAGCAAGCAATCCAGATTGTCCAAAATTTAGCATGAAGTAGAGCAAACCTTGTTTTCTATTACTGATCACAAAGAAAAGTCAAGGGCCTCTTGACCCGGCTATTGAAGGCACGTAAAACTGTAAAGCATAACTGTGAGATTTGACAAAAGTGTCAAAATATAGCATTCAAGTGTTTGAGAACACCAAGAAAACAGCCATTATGGTGTACCGGGAGTGAATTTAAAGTGGTATTTCAGCAGGAAATGCAAAGCTTACAGCTAGAATTAGTGACTGAAGCTGATTCGGTGCTGGACTTTCCAGCTTTTCCAGGTTTTTGTTTCCGAGAACTTTTCCTTCTCATTGGCACGGCACAACTTCAGTGTTTGTATCCTAATCCTACTCTAATGAACGAAGGCTATCGAGTGATTTTGCACTGTAAATGTAGAGTGAAGCTAGCTCTACAATATGCAGTTTGAAAGTCCATAAGAGCTCCAAAGGCAAAAGAGCTGTAGATATTTGAATAGAAGGTGCGTTTCCTTCGGCTTGTCTTCACGGTTGTAGTATTGTTCGCTTCAAGAAGTATATCTCGAGAATGTACACTGTAAACGGTATGATTTTCTTGACGAATATTGGCAATTAGACGAAGAACTCAAAGGCAAAATTTGGCTGAAAAGCGAGGAATACTAACAAAGTTACTACGTTGAAAAATTAGGCTTAAGGACTTTTGGGACACCCTGTAGAAAGCAATCTTCCTCAGTTCTAGCTTTTTTCTGGTAGCTACTCATGAGTCTCCAGTTCCAGTTCAAGCTTCCGAAACTTTTATTTTAGCATTTGAAGGGTTTGGGTGATTGGTAATCAGAAGCAAACATCATAAATGCTTTGTCTTTTTTCAGCTCGGTGAATGACCGCGTCCTAGTGTACGGCAAAGTCTGACTTGATTGTTAATGGCATAAATGCAGCCGAAATTTTGAAATGCTGATGTGAGCAGTTTGAGTTGTACTTGTATCGCAACTCAGACAATCGCAAAGAAGCTCCGGGGCAAACTGACCTTCTAAAACTTCCGGAGTTGGCGCTGCTATTGTTTCGTGTGGCATGGGCCGTGTGGCCTTTGCCACACGGACCAATAGCAGCGTCCGCTCCGGAACTTCTAAAAGCTCAGTTTGCCCCGGAGCTTCTTTTGCGATTGTCTGAAAATAAACTCCTGCGTAACTCAAATAGGAGCTCTAACTCTTCGAATCTTAACACGTTTCGAACCGCGAAATCGCGCGCGGCGAAAAAGAGTGTACTTTCAGCCGTTAGCCTACAAAGGGACCTTATTTTGCAGCCTGTGGGCCACATTTGTAATCAGCATGTCAGATAAGCTCCATACCCGATGTTCTGAGTGAATTCGAAGTGTTTGAATTTTGTCGTTTGAGAGGGACTTTTGTGCTTTCTTGAAAGACAGGAACAAGAATTCAGATTCTAAAAGTATTCAAAAGTATCTGTGTTGTACACAGTACACATCAGTATTGGAACTAGGGTTTTTCTCCTTGATATCGAAGCAAAGGAAAGTTGCGACGTCGCAGGCGTCGTTCGCGTCGCCGCACTTCGTTGCAACTGTTGTTCCATTTGTGCTCATATCTCCTAAACAAATATCGGCTGCACAACTCTACAGGGCCATTTGAAAAGTAGGAGCTTAGACCTTTGACTCAACAAGTTTAGACTAAAAGGAAACCTTCTGCAAACGCCAGAAAGATCCTTCAAAGCAGCGTGCTGCACCATGTGCAGCATCGGTCCGAAACGTGTTAAAGGCAGCTCCCTGGCAAGAAGAGGGGTGCTGAGTTTTTTGTGGCGATGTTAAAGTAGAATCCCTACTCAAGCGATGGCTGAAGTTCGAAGCGAGAAAGGGCGTCTACTAATCCTGAAATTTGCTCCAAAAGTGGCCCGGATTTTACGGTACGTACGGTACGGCACCTCCACTTTGGCGGAACGCTGCCTTTGAGTCTGAATCTCAAAAGGCACTCAAGTATTCATGATTTACAGTCAGATTATTCCATATGATCATGTTTGTCATTGCACACACTGCCCACTGTCGTGCCCATTGTGCATTCTTGGCGCAGACTACTCTTTAGGTAGGTGTTTTCGATGTGTTTTTAGTGTTTTCTTTTCTCATTAGGTACTAATCACCACAAAATGACGTAAGCGATGGCAACCCGTAAGTCACTTTTGTTTTAGCGTTTGCAAATCCAGGATGAGGACGCCAAAGGTGGACGGTGTGTGCAATGCACATGTGGTCATATAAAATAATTCGACTGGAGTTCGTTATTAAAAAAATATTAGTGTATCGCCAATTAGCCCGGCTGAGTCCATGAAATTTTACATTGCAATAGTGCATAATTACTGTGGAGGCTTCAATCTCGCACTTAGCAATAGCTGAATACTGGTGGAATTTTTAACCAGGGTCAAGCGTGGGGTGCGGCACGCCACACCTGGGGGGTCGTATTGAGGAGTCAAAAGGGGAGGGGGTCGTAGTTGGGTAATCTGATAACAGTGATAACATGATATTCGTATCATATCGATAATTAGCATGTCAATTAACCCCTGTAGACAACGTGTGAGCGAGTTCTGAAGATTCAAGATACTAGGCTACTTAAATGAAATGGTCAAATTCTAACATGGTTAATTTTGTTTCAAAGGTGAATTAGCTATTCGTTTTTGCACTCAAGACAGAGAACTACTCCTTCTTTGTCCACCTTAGGAATCCCGCTTCAGAAGACCTGCAAACTGTGGAATTAGAAGCCAACCAAAATCTCGTTTTTCCCATTTTTCGCTTTTGATCGCTGTGCTTTCACCAAATATTATTACGTTGTCCGGAAAATAATGTCGCATGGCATCCTTCCGCGACAGAATGACCACAGAAAACAGCGAATGGGGTATCATTCGATAGAGCAAAGTAAGCTCTACAAGCTAGTTAACAAATCTCCGCGGAGATCTTGCTCCACTTGAAGTTCGAATCCGAAATATAAAAAATTTCAGACGTCCGAAAAATCGTATCTCCGTTCACTCCGTTCGTTCCGTTCCACCTGAACGAATTCAAAATATAAAATTTTTTAGATCTCCGAAAAATCGTATCTCCTTTCATAGACGTTATGGATCTCCAATTTGTACAGGCATGTACTCTCCACTCTAGACATTCACCTGCATAGTTTGTGGTATTTTTCCATGGCTACAGTTCGAGAAATAGAAAGAGGTCAAAAGTGCGAATATGTCACGTTTTTCGGTTTTTTTGCAAACAATTTGATTTTTCTCGAAAACTAGCGCTTGTTCAAAGCTGAAAATTCATGGTTATACTCCTAAAGGTTCATGCTACAGAATTACCCATGTGAGAGAAGCTCAGGATTGCTTTGGCAGAAATATGCCGAATTTGGTTTTCTCAATTTTTAGCCATGGAAAAACCGCGAAAATGCATACGAATGTCTCGTACAGTGAGTCCATGCGTGAGCAAGTTAGGGGTTCTCAGGACTTTTCTAAACGGAGATACGGCTTTTTTCGTTTTTTCAGATCTTAAGTGCATTGTAAAATTTGGCTCCAAACTTCACGTAAATCAAACCTGGCGCGAAGGTTCGAGCTTCATTTTGTAGAGCTTGCTCTGATCTATCGGTTGATACCCCACTCACTTACTTTCGTGCGCACCCTGCTGCAATATTGCATGATAAAACAAAAAGCGACATAATTTTCCGGACAACCTAATACTTAGAGCTAAGAAGACAAATCAGGCTCCAAACAGTCCTATGGAATCTACAAGGTTTAGGCTATCGATTCATATAAATACAGTCCGCTAAAAATGTTTTTTGATATAGTTAATGGGGTGCGCGGCACACCCCCTTAACTTGCCTTCAAAATCCAGAAAGCGCTCCATTGCTGGTATGGGTATTGAGCACATAGCTTCTTCTTGCTACATTGGAAATTGGGGGCCGAGCGCCCCACCCGTAGGAAAATTATGACCCTTTCAATATGCCCATTCAGATCAAAATCAGCCGTCAAATTACGTGTGACTGTAAAGTGCAGTCGCAAAAAATCGGCGTACAGCTCTCAAAAATCTGAAAACTCTCTAGAAAAAGATGGTGTCCTCCAGAATGTCACACTTTGAGGTCCAGAGGTTGAGAGGAGGAAGAAGGGGTCGTTTAAGGGCTTTCATGGGAGGGGGGGGGGGGAGGTTTCGAAAGACTTGTGCCTGACCTCTTTCTCAACTCTGGTATTGCCATCTTAGGTATATAGTTCAGGGGGGGGGGGGTCTTATTAAGACAGCAATTAGGGGGGGTCGTAACCGGCGATTGTGTGCCACACTCTTTGCTTGACCCTGTTTTTAACTTACGCGAAACATTTCCTTATTACTGCGATATTTGTGCAAAAACACAATTTCTTGCAGAGGAAACTTTGCACTATTCCAGAATAGCGCTAGATCAAATATCTGGTACAGTCGAGTAGATTTTGCGCTTGACAAAGTGTGCTTGCACTAGAGATGAACAGATTTGCGCGTGAACAACTAGCCACGCCTGGTCAACTGTGCGAGCAAAATGCGGCCATACCTGGCGTGGCTATTTGTTCACGTACAAATTTTAACGCATTTTACCTGCGGTGCAAGCACACTATAGCAAGCGGAAAATCTACTCGACTGTATCGAGCTGTGCTTTCCAAGTGTGTACTGCATCAAAAACTCAGATTTTTTTGGAGTAAACTGCGGCATTCCAATATTTGTTAGCAAACTCACAATCTGAAAATTTGAAATGCCGCATTTTCAAGCCTTGGGTTCTCCATGATTAGTCATTGAAAAATTGCGCTAAATCACTGTCGTAAAAAAGCGAACAAAAAAGCAAGTTTATTGAGTTTAGGCTCAGGGGATATGCAAATTTTTTGAGTTTTTTCAATGTACGCAAGAACCATGTGTCAACCTAATACTTAATCGGTATTACGCTTTTGAACATTCAATTTCTTCCAATGTAGAACGTATCATATAATCAAATTTAATGTCCAAACTTTTGGGAAAAAAGGGTTTAGCTTTAGTGGCTAAGTTCATTAAGCTTGCTTTATCAGTTCGCCAATATAGCGTGCAGTTAAGTTAACAGAAATTATTAACGTTAGGTCTTTATGAAGAGGCTTTAGGCAATTTTTCGAGTTTTGTAAAACGACAAGGACCAAGAAGAAGACCACAAAATACTGGCTTCGAAAAGAAGACGCCAACAGAATCCACATTTTCATCGATTCTCAATCGCTAATTTTGAATTATTGAGGTCAACAGTTACTGATTGATAGAGGAGGATTTCGGCTAGCATAGCAATCGATGCTCGGCACAGGTGGCTTATAAGCAAGCTGGACATCGTTTTTGGGACAAAAAGCAAAGGGGTTTTGCTTTTGTGGCCGAAAAGACACAGAATTTGCGACGCTTTTTTGGTCGACGTTTCGTATCTAAAGGTTTTTATATGGTTTGAAGTCAAAGGGGACTTCGTAAAATTTGTCAAGGGAACTTCGTTCTTTTGCATTTTCTGAAAGCCATCTCGTGCTGAGCCCTAATAGCAATCCTGCCGTACTCCATATAATGCTTTCCATTCTCGGCAAGTTTTTGGCGCATCGGAACACAGAAAATTAACTCCGTCTGCTTGAGAAGTCAGGCAAAAAACCAGAGGGCTAACGACTCACCCTTGATCGGTGATGCAAAGATACATAACGAATTCTCTATATTTTTGACATGTCATGTTTGCGCAACCTACTTTGGAGGCATCAGCACGCATCAGCTGAAAGAAAGACTGTTTACATCCTTAAGACAGGCTTTGTAGAAATGTACATTGACATAATTCGTTGTTGATTCTTCATCGTACCAATCATAATAATCTAAGGACTGAGTTGTATTGAAAGAAGCGATGCCATACCAGTCAACTTGGAATAACTCGCACCAAAGAGCGGTGGAAATATTGGAATGGGTAATGTAGGGACTGAATGAACGATAATTTTTGAACGAAGATAAGAAGCTTCTTCATCGTGATTGTATTCGTACTCCTTAAATGCTTGGCTGTCGTCGTTGCACCCCAGTGTCGTTAGAGCTTTCTTAGCCTTTTGTTCGAGGACGCAGTCATATGCCTAAAGCAGTACAGAAATATAGGAAGGGTAAAGAGTTATTTTTTTCAAGCTTCTGTTTTTGCTGGATCTCATTTATAGATCTTCTTTGTCAAAGCGTTGGCAAAAAAGTATGACACAATTTTCCACGTACTCTCTTCTTTAAACCTGGGCATGTCGTATCGGATACCGTGTATTTTTCTTCTGCCAACCAGGTTTGTGGTGGATCTTTATTGACCTTACGTTTCGACTAATATCGTCTTCTTCGGAGGTCTGAAAAGGAATTGCGGTGATATTATCTGTTAGTCTATACGACCAAACGCCTCATCAGACTTCCGTCGTTTGAACCTCGTCTGGGCGTAACGTGCCGAGAAACAATCCGGAGTGGATTCACCAACCTCTAATCCACCTTGGAGTCAGTAGTCCGCACGGATGTGACGGACATCACTGAGGTTGCTCAGTGAGTCAGGGACTATATATACTGTGCGGTTTGAGGTCACATAATGACATAAGAGGCAAGAGATCAGTCGTTATCGTCACGCGCTTATTTTTATTGTTCATGCCCGGATTTCCGGCGTAAATCAACGCGGCCTCTAGCATTTTTCGTGCTGAAATCTCGACCTCCTGCGCTAAAATTGTACACTTCACGATAAAATCGTCACCATCGTGTGCCTCAATCTTGTGTTTGCCCAACGGTGATGACACATTTCCTCGTCTTTTGTTAGCCAGGTGTTCTTTCATTCTAACACTCAGAATTCTTCCCGTCTCTCCTATATATGTTGAGCCACACTTCAAGCATTCCAGCTGATAAACAATACCCTCCTTCGCGCAGTCACCTAGTTTCCCATAAGGGCAGACGATGCAGTTTTCTGACAAACATTCTACGTCGTACATTCTGTTTCTGACCAACCGCTTTCTGATGTTACTGCTAGGAATGTTGACCAGTATCACCTCATTTTCCAATTGCGCTCGTACTATGCATCTGCTAACTAACTAACTAAAAAAAAAACAAAAAAAACCACTTGCGAGATCAATTGAGATTTAAGGCTAGACAAGAAAGCACCCAGCAAATGTTGCCAACGGGAAGACAGTTAATGCCATCTATACCGTTTCCTCGATCTTTTTATAGAGAGTCCGAGCAGTGCCAGTTGTCGACACGAAATTCTGTATTCTTACCACCGAAATTCTGCACGTTTTGTATCGATTCAAGCGATACACAAGCGATACAGCAAACCAACTTGACGCGAGAGCAATGTCAGGGTTTTGAAGAAGTTCGTGAGTTAGTAGAAGAAAAGGCGATCCGTGTTTCCATAAGTGACAAAGGCCGTGAATTTGTAATTATGTCACAATCGCTGAATCGAGAAATTGCAAAGCTGCATCTTTCCGATACTACGATTTATCGACCCGCTACTGAACGAGAGTATAAAGCGCAGTGTAGAAAACTGAATAGTACTTGGATGAAAGTGGCAAAGTCTGCCGGTCTTGATAGAAAGTTTATCAACAGACTGAAAGTGGATAACCCAAGGTGTCCAGTTTTCTACCATTTGATCAAGACACACAAGTTAGCGGCGAGCGAATCACAGTCGATGTCACCAGAATTATATTAGATCCGCCCTATAATAAGCTGCGTAAGTGGACCGACTGATCGAATATCTTGGTTTTTGAATAAGATTGTAAGCCAACTCCTAGTCAAGGTACCTGCGCATTTGTCCAACACTCAGCAATTTGTACAGCAGCTGCGGAATGAGTTTTGAACCTGGTAGTATTTTCGAGTCTTTTGACGTAACGTCACTATACACCAATGTTCAAAACAATGACGCTTTACAAGCTCTGTCGGAGATGCTGGATGAAAATCATTCCACCATGGTAACCTTTGGCTTGAGCAAAGCGTGCATACTGCTCCTCATAAGAGAATGCTTAAATTGAAACATATTTAAGTGGTCGGGGAATTACTATTCTCAGACCAGAGGACTTGCGATGGGCCAGAGGCTCGCTCCAGTTCTCGCGATTTGTTACATGAGTAAGATTGAGGAGCCAGTATTAGCGCGCTTGCCATTAATGTACTGTCTATACATCGATGACTGCTGCATTGTGACGTCAACACATTCCGAAATGGATGAGTGCTTTAGAATTCTAAATCAGCAGTCACAGTACATTAAGCTTACACGCGAGACTCCGCACAGTGGATGGCTTTCCTTTCTAAACACCCAGATAAATTTGTCTGACGGTACTGTTCGAATTAAATGGTACCGAAAGGAAAGCTCCAAGAACATACTCGTCCACGCTACATCAGCACATCCTGCGGCTCTAAAACGTTCCGTTATTCGCAATGTACAAAACCGCTGTAGAAATGTGCACGGGTGAAGACGAAAAGTATGAGTCGCGACAGTTGGCATCCAAAATTGCTCGCAGTAATGGCTATACAATTGCGCGATCTCGACAGCGAACATCTACACGATCCGAACATTGTAACCTTACCGAAGCAATAACAGTGACAACAAGATCTCTGTATGCCATTTGTCTCCGATAGTTTCAGCAAAGCGGTTAGCAGATGCATAGTACGAGCGCAATTGGAAAATGAGGTGATACTGGTCAACATTCTTAGCAGTAACATCAGAAAGCGGTTGATCAGAAACAGAATGTACGACGTAGAATGTTTGTCAGGAAACTGCATCGTCTGCCCTTATGGGAAACTAGGTGACTGCGCGAAGGAGGGTATTGTTTATCAGCTGGAATGCTTGAAGTGTGGCTCAACATATATAGGAGAGACGGGAAGAATTCTGAGTGTTAGAATGAAAGAACACCTGGCTACCTGGCCACCTGATTTACGCCGGAAATCCGGGCATGAACAATAAAAATGAGCGCGTGACGATAACGACTGATCTCTTGCCTCTTATGTCATTATGTGACCTTAAACCGCACAGTATATATAGCCCCTGACTCACTGAGCAACCTCAGTGATGTCCGTCACATCCGTGCGGACTACTGACTCCAAGGTGGATTAGAGGTTGGTGAATCTACTTCGGATTGTTTCTCGGCACGTTACGCCCAGACGAGGTGCAAACGACGGAATTCTGGTGAGGCTTTGGTCGTATAGACTAACAGATAATATCACCGCAATTCCTTTTGAGACCTCCGAAGAAGACGATATTAGTCGAAACGTAAGGTCAATAAAGACCCACCACAAACCTGGTTGGCAGAAGAAAAATACACGATATCCAGTATGACACAATGTTTGATCGTATGTTGGTTCTCAGTTTTCCTCCAACTTTTTGAGTTAATTTTTAAGGTCTAAATTTGGGTCTAAGCGAGATAGTGATTTCAAAAACCGAAGGATCAGGCGCCCATGAGAAGTAGGTGCCCATGCACTGAAACTTTTGTAGGGTCCGAACCACACTAATAAAGTAAAGCAGACCTACCATTTTGTACATGTTTTTGGCTGGAGGGAGCTCCTCAGTAGTCCTATCCTCTTCGTAGTAATTTGTGCCATTCATTTGCAACCCACTAGCTAATATCGCGCGTTTAGTATTGACGAGTGAAAGTACTTGGTAGACATCATTTTTTGATAAAACACCGTTAGCACAATAAGAAGCACCTAAAGCGAATTCGAGCTCACAATACTACCAGAAAAAAAGTAGGTTAGTGTACAACGATGTTACTTCATATGCTTTCTCAGTAAAGAAAAAGGTTAGAACACAAGGACGAGGTATGGTGACGGAAAATGTTGCAGTTTTTTTGTAGCAATAAGAACATTTTTTCCCTTAAAGAGAGATTTCCATAAGTTGTGCCGCTTACGCGCTATTTCCGCTGCCTTTCGTTCCTTTGAATATGTTGGCAAATCTAAGGCGCTGCGGGAAGTTGCATCGATTTAGAGGGAGTTGAAATGGCGGGCTTTCGACAACGGTTCGCGCCGTTCTGCACCTACAGTATGTAATAGCGTCTTCAAAACACTTGTCTACGCCTCCTCATTGTCCTCAACCAAATTGGCAAAACTGTCAGCGCTGTGCGCTCGCATAGCTTCCAGCGAAGCCGCGGCGCTGCACCGCATCGAATGCCTCCATCTATATGCAGCTGAAACATACTGTATTTGAAGTTCCGTAGCTAACCTAGACTTCGTTCAAATTTAGGAAACTCAGTCTCACAGGTTTTTTCGTGTGTATGAGACCACAGAGTGTTGTCCCAAGACATCGCACCATATCTCCGGTTGCCCGTCTCAGATTGTTTTATTCGTCTGTGTATATTTGACCTATGTTGATGTGCTAATTGTCGCCTACATTGAACCAGATTCTACAAAGTGGATTTCTCATTGTTGTTTTCTTTCCGTTAGCTCAGTTTTTGTGCTTTTCGTGTTTGATGCGGTCTGAAAAGCTGAATGCAATTTGAAGAGCATTTATGCACCATGATGATGCTTCGATGCAAACGTGGGAAAACCACATCATTTAAAACGAATAGTTTGAGCGTAAACGCGTTATCTACTTGTGCTGTTCCTTGCTACCTCCATTTTTTTTGTTTTTGTGTTTGACTCTAGTTTCATTTTCGTGTAAGTGATGCGATTTTGCCAATGCTTACGTCCATGGATCATCATGGATTTGCACAAATGCTCTTAAATATTGCATTCAGCTTTTCAGACCGCATCATTCAAAAAAGCATAAGACTTGAACAAAAATCGAAAAAAGAACAATGACCAGTTTACTTTGTAAACTCCGATTGAAGTACTCTGCGCATCTGTCCTCAATGGCGATGTTTCAGTTCTTAGAGCAGCCACTATCGAAACACAACCCGTACCGTACCTAATTAGCCCATAACAGAAAAAATGAAGGAAAATGACATAGACCCAGAAAAATGGATTGATCAGTGGATTTTCGCGCCGCACGCGCGCTAGGGAGACAATGGCTTGACCCACTGCGCTAGCGGCAACCGGCGCGAAAGCGGCCACAGCTGCAAAAGCGACAACCGGTGGTCTGGAAGCTCCCTTAAGGACGGCCATAGGTTGCCGGCAACGGTTGTCAGGTTGTCGAGGTTGTCGGGGTTGCCGGGGTTGTCGGCGTTGCTGAGGCTGCCGAAGTTGCCAGTCGTTGTAGGACCTCATGTCTCCACGTTTCGCGCGCTCTCTAAGCTGTCTCTGACCCCGGATGGTAGGATGTACAAGCTATTGTATCTATGGAAAACTCTTTGAGGCATATAAGATATTTATCGGTTGATGTCTTACACAACTATGCAAAAAATGTCATGTATAGTTTGGGGAATTATTCCTGTTTACTTCTGTTTTTGATTCCCAAAATATCGGAGACTGAAAAATCCCAAGCAATGCAGGACGATGCAAAGATCTACCCATCGGCACTGTCCCACCGTCCCCGCACTCCCCACCCTCTTCATGGGCTAAAAGTCTGTTTTGCGATATTTTCTCAATGAAATGGCATCCTTTCAGTGACTAGCGAAGAACGGAGGAGGTGGTAATCGGACAGAGGGTACTTAGTGTGACGAAATTGGATAAGTGCGTAGCAAGTGGTACCCGTGCAGCCGACTGCTGACGCAGCCAGCCGACAGGGGTGGCGTCAGCGCAGTAGCATATGGTAGGATAATTACGCTAGCCTTCCGAAACTCTCCACCGAGAGATCTCTTCGCACCTCGTCGCGCTGAGGTGCGATATCAGCCTCAGGGACAGCGCGATAATTTCGATCTTATCCTACTATAATAACGCGCTAAGGCCGTCTGTTTTTTTTGTGTGTCTGTGTGTCTGTGTGAAAATCTGTCTGTCACGAAATTCATAGAGGAAGCTGCAACTAAGCTATCGGGCTGAAATTTTGCATAGCATACCGTGCCAGCGTGTAGGCTCACCATGCACAAGGACGAGCCGGATCGATAAGCGGGTCCCTCAAAATTTGCGCGTCAAACGGGTCCACGCGCCTTTTGGCACGCAAAACTGGGCCGCTAATTCGACTTTTTGCAAAGTTATGATTTGCCTGACAAGTAACTCTGCGCGCCATGAATTCTAGCCCAAAAAGTGCTCAAAAAGTTTGCTTCTCTACCAAAACAGCGCCAAAAATTGATGAGCGCGTAGATAGTCGCTTTGGCAAGGTTTTGTTTGAAAACTGAAAAGATTTTTGCCGAAAAGTAGCCCTAGGTGACTGTTATCCTTATGACGATCATCAAACTAGAATAAGTCCAGTAATCCTTTCAAATTCACATTTGTTTCCTTGCAACAAAGTTTTTTTTCCTAAAAATTACCGATCTTACATGGAGATGCTTCATGAATGAACAGTTGTTTACGATTAGTTTGTGATGCTCAGCATCGCGTGGTGAGTTTCAAAGCTATTCTCATGCGAACATGAGAAAGGCATACGGATAGGGAGCCGGTGCGAACCTCCGCGAAGCGGAGGTGACGAACTGGTGTATCAATATCTACATCATTTTAAACTGCAAAAAATTCCTAGTTTATTGAAAACCATGCAAGCATTTACAATACTATATACAAGCGATAAATCTCCATAATTTGGCAAACAGTTACAATTACAAAAGTGAAAAAATTACAAATTAAATAGTTTTTTCTGTTACAAATTTAGATTAGACATTTTGGTTCTTGATGACCTACTCTACCGTCTTTTATATCAGCATCAGTGACCTGCTCAATTTTTGACACACTATGGCTTAGTCATTTGACCTGCTTTGGCTTATCAGCTTTTTTTTTATCATCCCCAAATCTTTAAATCCTCATTTAAACAAACCTTTCTTCGCCTTTGGACCTTCCGTCCTCCTCCGGTTTTCAATTTTAAAAAACAAAATTCTTGATAACTAAACTCTTTTTAAATTTTGAATTATTTCACCTTTTGGTCATTTCATGAGATTGAATTTTTGGACCATTTTCCTCTAGGAAAACTTTACTCTGTGTAAACTTGTTCATTTTCACTTTATCAATAAACTAAGAATTTTTTGCTTATCAAAATGATATAGATATAGATAACATTATTGATAATATCGCGCTATCCCTGAGGCTGATATCGCACCTCAGCGCGACGAGGTGCGAGGAAACTCTCGGCGGAGAGGTATCAGACGGCTAGCGTAATTATTTTACCGTATGCGGTTGCGCTGACGCCAGCTCTGGCGGCTGGCTGCGGCAGCAGTCGGCTGCCTGGGTACCACTTGCACGCCTCCCAAATTGGATGTATGCCACATTCATGTCTGCACACATCTAACAAGGGAATCACCGTCGCAGTGGCTTATACATGTTGTTGCATATCATTCTGCTGATTTCGGGGCACTGATACCTATGTTCCTTTGCTGCTTAATAACTTGGGAAAAGTCACGAACGATGTCTCCCTGTTTAACTACGGCTCAATACAAGTTGGCGCCAAGCAGCGTAAGTGTGGATGGATGGTGTCCAGTGGACAGCTGTGGAGACTATCAGCAGATGGTCAATCTATTGCAAAGTTGTTTATGTTTAGACTTTCCCCAAAGCAGGAAACGCTTACAAATTTTTTTTCGATAGCTTGAAATAATAGCAATCTATCCAGTTTTCATATTTTAGTATTAACCTGAACTATTTATCAGCATGCGAGGCAGTTCGCCGTAAAATACTCAAAACACAATAATATATTATAAAAAGCAATCTAAAAAACATCTGACTTCATTCCCTGAGCTCACAATTTTCTAACAAACTAGATAGAAAACCGTTTTTTATAGAGGGAGGGGGGGGGGGGAGGATTGACGCCATTGATGGCTATTTTGGCATTGGTGACGTTCATAGTGCTGGTGAACAGTTCCCGCCAAGCCTCATGTTAGAGGCAAACCTGAGGTTTTCAAAAAATTCTGTAATTCGGAACCAATAAAAAAGAGTAACACATTTCATCCGTCACCTTAACAAATTATAAGCTTGCCTGTACTGCGACAACGGGCCCGGTGCAAAGGTTTTGGGTAGAAATGGCAATTTTGCATCAATTCTTCTTGAAACAGACTACGAAGCTAACATTCAAAGTAAAAAGGTTCCTAACATGAAGTTGCGCATTTTGCAGATTCGAAACAAGTCATTGAGCAAAAAAAACTTAAAGTTGGTCCGAAAAAAGTGAAAGAATTAGAGTTTCCGTGTCTAAAGAATAAAGATACTCGACCGTTTCATAAATCAGACTTACCGGAAGGGTTTGAGTCAGAAAATGTTGCAGTAGATTCATTTGAACTATCATCGATGAAGGGATCACATTCGGCTTTTGCGGTACCTGTTTCGTAAATGAGGTCTCCCTTCTGGATACTCCTAGAAGTTCGCTATATTTTTTACTAGCTGGCATACCCGGTTCCGCCCGGCCCTTTCAATTATGATAAAAACTGCCCTACGTACAACATTCCTGTGCCGGTCCGCCATATGCCTCAACTATGTTTTCGTAATCAGCATGTTCACTTTACCCCCTCCCCATCTTCACGCCACCCCCTCAGTCCCATAGCTCAAGTTTAGAACAATCGATAAAATCGATGTGATCGAGACATCTGTTGGTTTGTCTCAAAAGTTTCTTCAATTTTTGTTTTTACCACAGTAGGCCATATACTTCTCAATTCTAATAAAGATGAGGAAGCCGTTCGATAGAGCAAAGTAAGCCATACAAGGACGTGTGTAAGCGTTCGCATCAGCTTTGGTACACCTCGAGTTAGAAGCCGATATTCAAGAAGTTTCAGGTACCTTGATGCAGTTTCAGATGAAGATTGTAAAGAATTTATTGTCTTCCTCCAAAACAAACTCATTGGATCTATAAACACTCCACTCAAGGCATTCATATACGCCGCTGCTGCATCTGCATCTGTGCTCAAAAGCAAAAACCGAAATTTTTAAGCTTTCGCACAAATTACGCTGCTCTCACACATTGTAGATTTATATCACACGCTTTGGAAATATAATTGCAGATTCTCAGCTTTCTACAAGTTCTGGTTTCCGGAAACATTAATTTTTACATAAAAGACCTCAGCAAAAAAGCTGTATCCAGTAATTCTCGAAATATAAAGCGTGTAAAGAGTTAAGAATATGGGGTTGTATTTCTAAAGGCGTGTAGGATACAATTAGTCATGTGTGAACAGCGCAGCATAGTTCTCTTGAAAGCATAAAAATTTTAGTTTTCTAGCACAAATGCAGGTACAGCGGCATCAGTGGCGGCCCGAGCCCCCCCTCCCCCGAGAATGGGTCGCGATATAAAAATGTGGAAGTGCTTGTTTTTTCTTGTAAATAAACAAAATAATACTCAAAATCTTTTCGCACCCCCTTCCGGACGGAAATCTTGCGACCGCCACTGAGCGGCATGTATGAATGGCTTATATGGTGTGTTTGTGCATGAGCGAGTGGGAAATTCGATAATTATGTTTCGGACGGAGATATGAATGATTCAATTTTCTAGGCATCTAAAACAGATTTCGACTTCTAACTCGAGGTGTACCAAAGCAGGCGCAAGGGCTCAACATTTTAATGGAGATTGCTTTGCTATCGAAAAGTACCCCACATCTAAGTTAGAATTGAGGAACGACTTATCGCGGTGAAAACTTGGATTTGAAAAAACTTAAGAAAACTTAACGTATTAGTAATCAGCATGGTCGATTACCCCCCCCCCCCCCGTGCCAACTCTCAGCCCGTAACTCAAATTTTGCACATATTTGTTAAAATCGGTATCGATCGATAACGAAAAGTAACATACGATAGCGCTTCTCCTTGAAGTAGTGTACAAACTTTAGTCCCGATAGGCTCAGTAATAATATTTTCCATTCGGAACATACATGCAGACAGACAGGCAGACATACAGACAAACATTTAGCTATATGTAAGACAGCGACCGGATGGCTAGCAACCGGGTTGAGGCGAATGTTTGGAGAAGGCTACCATACCTACAGAAAATCCCATTTCCTCACTTCATCAGCCCCTGTGCAGCGCAGTTGCTATTCAAGGCGAATTTTTCAGTAATCTCAAAATATCGCCTGCAAACCGATGGAATGCTTTTAAGGCAGCGTGTTGACCTGCGCAACGCTACACATCTTCCATAAAACTTATCGCTCGCCTTCTTCCAGAGAAAAATGGATTAAAGTGAGTTTTGCTGAGTAGTTGCTTTCAGTAACTTTTTAAGTTTTTGAGTTTTCTATCTTACAAGGGTTCACATGTCATGTAATATCTAAGTTAGTGGATTATAGAATATTGCCATGCAAACTGAGTTATTCACTACTTCTATGATCCCCTAAAGGATCTTCAGGAAATCACCTCACATTTCAAAGTCGTTTATCTTCTTTTAAATTATATGCAATGCCCTGAAATTGTACCGAGGATATACTATGGCACGCTGGACATGGTTATTATAGAAATTAATAAATTTCAGAATATCGAAATTTTCGATGAACTTTTCTTTCATTCGATGTTCGCAAATCGCGGTTCATCGAAAGACTCACAACCCAATCCATATGTCTTATCGAAACTTTTCCCTAGAGCGCCATAGCAGTCGCTTTATCGCTAATAGGGGACAAATCTTTCTGAGTTGTAAAAAAATCAATTTGCCCTTTTTTTCTAGATAACTCTAATATTATCGGGCCGCATCATCAACACCCTCGCTGGAGAGTGAAAGCAGTCTCAAAAAAGCTTCATATTCTGAAGCTATGAACATGTGGAGCTCTGCTTCATTTACAAGTATTTCTAATACTAACGCTCTGTCTCTTTATTTACAAGAATTTCCAATACTCCTTACTATAAACATACCGAGTTGTACATGCCACATGTTTCAGCTTTTGTGATTTCCCCGGTGCCACCCCTCATTTCTTCAAGGCCGTTTTTCTTTTTTCGAAGATGAAATCATTTCAAATGTGCTGAAAATCTAATTAAATAGTGTTAAGCATGTTTCTGATAAAAACGTCTGATTTATCACGGTCATGAAAATTGCAATGGACCACACGAAAATAGACGTTCATCAAATGGCGCCAAGGCACGTGTAATTGTGAAACAGCACAACAGAGACGCTTTTACATGTTGAACAACAGTTGAATCGAAACACTGTCTGAGACGTCATTTTAAATATACTTGAAAAGTATATTTAAAATGACGTCTTCATCTCTTCTGTAAATGTGAGAATTTAGGGGTGTCTTGCAGTATTAAATGCATTGTAGATTTTGTCAATTTTTCGTAGACTCTGACATGAGAAGATAAGAGCTGGTCCAGGAGGTAGTGTATGTTGATTGGGAAAACATGGTGGGATAAGGGGGGGGGGAGTGTGACAAGAAATTTTATATATAAAGCTAGTGTGTTTGTCTGTATGTCTATTGTCTGTATGTATGTGTGTACGTATGTTCGGAATAAAACTCCATTATTGAACCGATCCGGACCAGACTTTGCACACACATACACCTCGGCGCGGAGCGTACTTTTCGTTACCGATCGATATCGATTTTATCGATCTTTACTAGTTTTCCTGAAGTTTGGCCTGCGCTGGGAGTTGGCACATGGGGGTAATCGAGCATGTTGATCACGAATACAAAATTGTAACTATCGATTATTTTCAACGATTCTATCGATTTTGCAAAGTTTCGAGCTACGGGGCTGATATGTGACACAGTGGAGTAAGTGGGCATGGTGATGACGAATAAAATACTATTCTTTGAAAATTATAGATCACTTTTAACGATTCTATGGAATTTTTTTGTCATATTCGAGCTACGGGAATGGGAATTGGCACAGGGGAAAGAGTAAGTGAGCATGCTGGTTACTAACACAGCAGAAATAGAGAATTAGCATGTAGAAGTTGTCACAGGATCATAGTATTTTGTCAGGGCCGTGCGGAGCCGGCTCAGATAATCGCCGGGGGCAGGCGGCCATACAAATTTTGAGCAAGCGGGCACCGGAAAAAAATTGTTCGCTGATTTCTTGCTGCCCGCTTGCAGAAATTTGGAAGAATGTTGACCAATTTTCAGAAGAATATCGGGGAACTATCGCGGTTCTCTTATAAGATTAATTGCGGCGCATTGGACTTTTCGCGAAAGTATGCAAAATTATTGAGGGCCGCGCGGTCCTTTGTGGAGGACCGCAGAGCCCTCAGATACTTTGCCGAGAGAAAGTACCTGAAACTTGAGTAATTAAACCATTGATGACGCCTCTGCAGCATAGAGTCTCACACTCAGATAATCGTCGGGGGCAGGCGGTCCGCAAACTCGCGCTTTTCTGGGCTTTTCTCCCGCTCTTTTCTTTCCGCTTTTCCGCTTTTCTTTTGGGACATGGCCAAACCTTCAGCGGGCGGCACTTCCTTTACGGTCGCATATTCTGTCAGCAGGCAGCAATACAGCATTTTTTGCAAGCGCTCGGCAAATAATTTTTTGCAGCAAGCAAACTCTAAGCAAGCGCTCGCACTCTTTTTACGCACTTTCGGGCGTACGCTGAGCAAAGGTAAAACTCTATTTGGCAGAAGTGTCATCGATAATTATATTACCCAAGTTTGGGGTACTTTCTTCTAGCGGATACAGTCGTCCTCACCCCACTAGTCGGTCGGTGGACGAATTCAAATTCGAACTGGAGCAGGCAGGTCGCGGCAGAGTACGGCACCTCAGCTCTCCGTTCAAACTCACGCATTCACTTTGCGTATTTCTTCTTCATTGCTTAGCAGTTTTTGTATTGTTATAACAATTTTGACCGATATTGAGTTTTTGTAACTGCTGAGCGTTTCTCCTGCCGCGCTTTGCCGTGACAGGGCCTGCTCCAATTCAAATTTGAATTCGTCCACCGACCGACTAGTGGAGTGAGGACGACTATAGTACCAACGGGCTGTGCGGTCATCCACAAAGGACCGTGCGGCCCCCATCAATTTTGCTTACTCTCGCGGACAGTACGACCACTAAGCCGCGACTTATTCATAGAAAGACCGCGACAGTTTTCCGAGCGTTCGTCCAAAAATAAGCCGAAATCACTCCAAATCTCTGCAAGCGGACCGCAAGAACTCGGCGAACTATTTTTCCGGTGCCCGCTTGCTCAAAATTCGCATGACCGCTTGCCCCGGCGATTATCTGAGCATTTGCTCAAAGCACACCCGAAATTGCTTTAAAAAAGTCTGAGCGCCTGCTGAAAGCTTGGTCAGCGCTCGTTGAAAGAGATTATTTGACGAGCACCTGCTTCTGTGTTGCTGCCCGCTGGTAGAACATTAGACAGTAAAGGAAGTACCGCTCGCTGAAGATTTGGCCACGCCCCAAAATTTGCTGACCGCTTGCAGAAAAGCGCGAGTTTGCGGACAGCCTGCCTCGGCGATTATCTGAGTATGTACTCTACTGCAAGCGATTTGATGGTGAATTGAGCCCAATAAGCAGCAACAGGACTGTTCAAAAGCATTAGTAAATTTGTAGAAGAAGTGCAGGCAATTATTTAATAGTAGGTAAATAGGCGGCTTAAAAATTGCTGGACATGAAATTCCTCGCCGTATGCATGCTACGACATAGTGTTATGTTTGATAATTTGGCAACGAGCTTGGGAGAAGAGAGGCTTGGTTGACGCAGCATTAGGGTGCTTTCGAGCAGTGCCTTACCATCATCACGTTTTCGTTCTATTTATAAGAAATAATAGGTAAAGCGTTACCTAATTTATTTTTTGAGCTCTCATTTGCAAGAGAGTAAGAAGGGCAGTAAAAAGCTTTTCTATGTGGTTAAAGTTTTAATTACCAAAGAACTAACTTCTGATTGATAATGCAAAGATATATACAGCAGTCCTCATATTGGTTCTTCTTTACTAACTTCTTGCTTGAGCAACCTATTCTTGAGACATCAGCACGCATCAGCTGAAAGCAACCATGGGCAGTCTTTGCAAATAAGGCTCTATATAAATCTACATCGACATAAACTCTTGAATTCCCATGCTCATCCATATATTTAACAGATTGAGATTCGATGACGTAAGAAAATCCATAAAAATCGGCTGCGAGTATGTCGTCTAGAAAGTCATCCATCCAATCCTCGCAACCATAGTATAAACTGAATAATTTTGAACGATTTGAATTTTTAAAGTAAGTTATTTTTAGTAAAGAACATTTGAAGCGCTGTGTGCTTTTTGACTGGCATAACATTTCGCACATTTGTATAATGATTTTGAATAAACGAGATTTGAGATCAGCTTCAGTCTGAGCTTAGCTTCTCAGACAATTGATGCCGTAGGTTCCAAAGTCCCCTCTTAACCAAGAGGGGCGGGACGAGGGGCGGTGGCGGATGGGACCCCTCCTCCGGGCTCGCAGATCTATGCTCCGGAGGTGCGCCAGATTTGGTGGAGCCCCGGAGAGCTGGCGCGCAGCCAATCTGCCCAGGACCACCTCACGCGCTAGTTAGCGTAGCTCTCTTGCTGATGTTCATTGGTTTCGGCTATGGTTCCTTCCCACAGCATTGCTCCTCGTTGGTTATGCCTTTATCACCCTCATACTTTGTATTTACGTTTCTTTGCTCAGCTCTCACACAGCTTTCTAGTGTCTTCCACGTCTTCCACTAGCGTCGTTCTTTGCAAGCACCAACATCAATACTTTTTAGCACTCTTTTCTTGTGTGCGGTTGCACTTTCCAAACTTTTGACAAGCACCGTCCTTTGGACCATATCAAGGTAAGTGCCCCTTTGGTTTGTACGTCTTTGAGTTCAATCGGCTAATTTGGCTCAACCCATCCACTACTTCACCAGTGAGCCCAATTGGAAGGGGTGAACCGGATAAAAATCGGATAAGTCTGATATCGGCCTAAACCAAGGTGATTTTGTTCGGAGCTACAGCTAGAAATGTAAAAGATTAAGGGCAGCAGGCTTTCTTGCCTCAGAGCAATTTTATGGTAGGTAATTTGACACGACCGATTTCTTAAATGTGAATTTTTTTGTCTTACAAGGGAGGTGTCTTCGGTCGAAGTGGCCTTTTCACATGAATTTGATATGGCTATAAAGAGCATCAAACGCTGATTCCAAATCTGTCTTCGTTATCTGCCGAGCGCCTCTAGACGTCGAGTTATGAATATTTTCTTGGTGCGAAAAATGAACGCATAATCTAAGTAAAATAAAATTTTACGGTCTTCTCAGCGCTCAAATAGAGCAGTGTTAAGTATGAGTGCTTTAGATAGAAGGTATTGTTCAAATAAAGTGCTTTGGTAATCAACATTGGACCATTTGAGCAAATCTGACGAATATTGTCCTGATTATGCATTTAATTTCTCAACTCAAAAAACGCTCATAACTCAACGTTTAGAGGGGTTCGGCAGATAATGAAGACAGATTTGGAATTAACGTTTGACGCTCTTTATAGTCGTATCAATTTTATGTGAAAAGGCCACTTCGACTGAAAACACCTCCCTTGTTAGCTCATTTAGAAATTTTCAGTTCTTATTTTCAGTGATTTCCGAACATCTTAGTTTTGACGATTTTTTCTGGTGCTCATGGGAACGCGTTTGCTTGCAAGCTTTTTTGAAGTCACTTGGTTGTTTGCTTCTGAGGCTAACAGAGATACACTTTTCTGTTTGGAAAACGAAGGAGTTTTGGCTGTGCATCGAAAATCTGAAAACCACTGATGTAGCGAAACAGCTAGATCTGCTCACGGACCTAAATGACCTTCAAAGTGCAACGGGGATTTCAAATCGACTATGGAGTCATACAAAAAAGGCAAGCCGTGTTCTAGTTCTCTTTTGTAGAGTCGATTCATCTCCGTGTCCAACTGCTCAACTTGCCACTGCTTTTAGCAACCATCTAAATCTCTCCTTTGTGTACCGAGCTTTGGCAAAGCACGGAAGAAGGTGATTAAGAATTTTAGGATTTACTTGGGAAAAATTACATAAGATATTTGTAGATAAGAAAGGGTTGGAATATGTTGGCCTATTTCGGCTAACTGCCCAAATGAGTGGAAGCTGCTCTCTAATTCGGCTATCTTTTCATATAAAGGAAAAACGATTTTATGTATGTTTGTCTCCGTTTCGTCCCTTTCCTTAGACGGAGTTTTGAGATCTAGACACTCTCCGGGACTCTTCAGTAAGGAGAGAGGGTCTAGTTTGATTTTCAAGAAAATTTTTCTTAAAAATTTGTAAAACTCAATTTCTATACTTCAATTGTAGTCCAATTCTTCTTTGTGCCGCATGATCTTCTGGTTGCAAAGTAAGAATGGACTTGTCTTGACTTGTTCATTCCGATTGTGTTATCATTTGTGTTGAATATATCATTTACATTCCTTTTCATATATATACAGGGTGTCCCAAAAGTAAGTACACACTTTTCAATCGTCAATATCTCTCTTCCCAATGGGTCTTTTTTGGCCACTCAAGTGTCATTGTGTAGAGGAGGCTTTAACTTAGATTTACAGTATCGAGCAAATCAACGATCGCTCTTCGTTACTGTAGGATTACGGTAAGAATTTTTAGCACATGGAACCATTATGAAATATGCCATCTGAAATTTTTTTTTCAAAAAATCTGAAAAATCTTGTACTAAGATTTTCGCACACGCTGATTCCACTACACAACTTTTTACGAGTTTTCAGCTTTTTTTGACGATGTAATCACATTTCAGACTAGTACTGGGAATTCGATCATTACGGTTAACCTAGATAACTTTGCAAAGAACCATCACAGTGAAGCGGAAATTTCATACTCGAAATGAGCGGCTTCCATTACCATAGTGTTAGAGTTTATGGCTTGTTTGGTTTTGTTCCGAGGCAGAATATGGCTTCCAAAGGCTTAAAATCCTTGTCGAAGTTCTTAAGTAATCCTACAGTAATGAAGAGAGATCGGTAATTCGCTCGACTTGATACTGTAGATCTAAGTTGAAGCCTCCTCTACAGAATGTTACTTGAATGGCGGAAAAAGACACAATAGGAAGAGAGATATTAACGATTGAAAAGTGTGTACTTACTTTTGGGACACTCTGTATATATATCGGTTGATCATAGTTTTGTTGATATTTTATAATATATTAGGTCGTTCCGAAAGTAATGTCGCTTTTTTCAAACGAACGCCACATCTCGTGGAATAAAGGTATGTAAGAGGTTTTGGTAGCATTTGATGCAGCATTTCATTCTCTTTCTAAAGGTTATATAACTAACGCACAAAATTCGGTAACTTTTCGAAAAATTATCAAAATCTGCGACCCATGCTTTTTGAGAAGGCCAAGTTTCACAATTTTTCTAAATTTTTATAACAACCCTTGGAAGGAGTCCAAGTAATGGATGGATAGAGCAAACCCTACAGGAAACAGCACAACTTTTTTCACTTTCCATAGCTCGTCATAATTTTTGTATAGATTTTTTGACGGAACCACCGAATCTTTGCAGGCTCGTCTCAGACACAAATGCACTAAACACCAATAAATCTTCGATTTTGAGACTTAAAAAAGTGTATTGTGGCTTGACACTATATTTAGAAAGCAAATGACTATTTGCCGCTTCAGATTAGCAACTTTCGAAAATTCCGAGTACAGCCTTGGGCGCCCTGGAAAACCTGAACTACGATGATTTTATCCCGGAAAACCTTATGAATCGGAAACAAAAAACAACTGATAGAAAGAGGAGAAAAAGCTGCGTCGAATGACACCCGAGTTGCTTGCCGGTTGTTGTTCTGTGAGGTTTGAATTGACCAAATATGGAATTTGGTGGCATTGAAAAATTGGTTCCAGAAACTCTAAGAAGCAAGCTAAGGTAAAGAAAAAAATTACTCTGTGTCCTGTAGGATTTTCTTTATCTATCTGTCGCTTGTACTTTTTCCGAGAGTAGGTACAAAAATTTAAAAAATTAGCCGAACTCCACCACGGCAAAAAACATGAGTCGCAAATTTTGGTACTTTTTCTAAAGCTCATTAGATATTATGCACTGAAATTGCAACCATTAGAAAGAGGATGAAATGCTGCATCGAATGCTTCTAAGATCTCTTGAAAATATTGATTCCCTGAAATGTGGCGTTCATTTGAAAAAAGCGACATTACTTTCGGAACAACCTAATATTAGGTTGTCCCAAAAAAATGTATCAAACGTTTGATCGTTGATATCTCTCTTCTGAAGAAGTCTCTTGTCTTGCTTTAGGTACCAATCTGTAGAGCTGGCTTCAACTTAGATTTGCGTTATAGAATCACTCATTTCTCTTCGTTACTGTAGGATTACGGTAGAAACTTCAAAGAGGGTTCTAAGCAATGAAAGGCCATATTTTGCCTCAGAAAGGAACCAAGACAGCCTGAAAACTTTTACGCTGGGCTAATTAGAGTTGCTGATTATAAATGTAAAGTCCCCAACTTATTATGATGCTTTATTTAAGAGTTATGCCAGGTAAGAGGTAACAGACATTTTTTCAATGTTCCTAAAAAGTGCGGTTACACCGTTTAGAAAGCTTCGCAATCTTGAGAATAGTTGAGTAATCTAAAAATATATTCTTGTAGTCCAAGAATTGCTCTATTAGAATCATACTTAATATTTCAAAAACATTAGAATGAAATTTTTAAAAATTAGCCGAACTTTGAGCAGATGAAATTGACGGATGGAAAATTTCAACAAATATCGAAAAGCATACAAGATTTGACTCGAGAATATATTCATAAGAAAGAGAAGAAAAAGCTGCATCGAGTACATGTTAAAGCTCATTCAGGTGTTTATTGTGCGTGGTTTTATAGTGGTTTGAAAAAACCGACAAATCTTTCGGGACGACCTAATACAGGGTGTTCCAAAAAATGTATCAAACGTTTGATCGTTAATATCTCTCTTCTGAAGAAGTTTCTTGTCTTGCTTTAGGTACCAATCCGTAGAGCTGGCTTCAACTTAGATTTGCGTTATAGAATCACTCATTTCCCTTCGTTACTGTAGGATTACGGTAGAAACTTCAAAGAGGGTTCTAAGCAATGAAAGGCCATATTTTGCCTCAGAAAGAAAACAAAACAGCCTGAAAACTTTTACGCTGGGCTAATTAGAGTTGCTGATTATAAATGTAAAGTCCCCAACTTATTATGATGCTTTATTTAAGAGTTATGCCAGGTAAGAGGTAACA